GGGGGGAGGGTGTGCTTGTCCCCCAGGAGAGTGGGTGTGTCCCCAGCGTCCTGACTGAGGTCTGAGATTGGGTTCCCAATGCCGGCTGGCTTCTTTCAGAGTCACCTGAGCCAGAGGGTGCCGGGGAGCTCACCTGCGTGGCTGTGCCCCAGCCCGTGCACACAGAGGGAGGGGCTGGGGACCGTGTGTGTCCCAGCGTGGCCTCAGCCTTGGTCTCGGCCGGGCTCTGGGCTCCATGTGTGGCCGGGTCCCAGTCACCCGAGCCAGGCTGGTCTTTGTGGGAGAAGGATGGGTGTTCGGGATGGGAGCCCCCTCCCCTGGCCTGGGGCCGGGAGGCGAGTGCCAAGAAGAGAAACTTCTCCCTGGACCCCCGACAGCCGGCTGTCAGTGACCCCGAGTGTGGCCCAGCCCAGCGTGGAGGCTTCGTGAGGCCTCCTGCCCCAGCCTTGGTTGCCAGGAAGGAGATTAACGGGTCCCTTCATGTGTAGACCTTCCGGGAAGCCAGTGGCCGCCCTCCGCCAAGCACCTTTCCCGGAGTAACCACAAAATGCCCCTTGCTGCCCTGATGTGCCCCCACCCCGACCGTATTTGGTGTCCACCGTGATTTTGCAAACCCCCCACCTGCCCCGCATTCAGTCGGTCCCGGAGACAAATTTCAGCTCAAACTTCCCTTTGGAATTTAGGTGTCAGAATGAGCAGGGCTCCGGGAGGGAAGGGCAGACGTGCTCACGGACCATCCCCGACAGAGTTGGGACGCCCGCACTGACGGATGTCTGCTAGAAAGACCTTCCTCGTGCGTTCCGCGCTTGGCGGTTCATGGGTGGCGAGGGCCCGGCTCCCTTCCCTGCCGAGCGCGATACCACGCAGGGAGCACCCGCCCCGGCAAACATCCGTTCAGTGTGGTGTCGGCTCTGATGGCATCTCATCGTTTCCACTGAGGCCATCGGACACTGACCCAGCCGAACTCGGAGCCAGAAACCCGCCTTCTGTGGTGCATTGAATGCGCGTAGAGCACAGTTGGGGTTGGAGACGGTTGAGGGACGGTTGAGTTCGTTGCCTGAAGAGAGTAAATACTTAAGCAGAAACCTCCCAGGAGTGCAAAGCTTGTCATTCTCCCCGGAGAGCCCCAGGGAGAGGAGGAGGCCAGGTGTCCCCCAGCACTGTCCGCCTGACCAGTGATGTCCCACGGGAAGGCTCCAGGCAAGCCACAGTCGGCCTGGGCCGCTTCTGGCTCACCTAGGGTTGAAGTCTACATTGGCAGGAACTAAATTGAGGGGCAGGGAGGGAGCTGTGCAAGCCGGAGAGGTCGAGATGGGGCAGTGGGGTCCGAGTAGGTGCTGGCTGCACGTGGATGTGGACACCGAGCACACATTTTTCTCTCCCGTGTCCCCCTCCCCAGCACACACCCCCTCGGTCTGTGCCCACAGAGTAATACGGTGACCCAAGCAAAGCAAGGACTTAGTAAGGACACTTGAGATTTCTAGGGGCAGTTACGAGGCAAGTGAATCAGAATCACGAGAGAAGAGAGATGCCTGTGTGCGTACGCGCCCGTTTGGTGGGGGAGGTGTTGGCCGAGAATTAAAATGGTACGAACATTGGTGGTGGCCGGGGCTCAGGCCCTCCTGGCCCCTAGAATCCGTGATCCCGCACACAGCCTCAGGAATCTGGCTGGTTGGCTTTGAATTTGGGCGGTACCGCTCGCAAACTGTGCCTCGGTTTCCCCATTTGTAAAAGAGGAGCCCTTCTTCGGAAAGGCAGCGGTGTGCGGGATGCGAGTGGCGGGGGGCCGGGCTCAGAGTGATCCTCGGCGAAGCTGGCTGAAACCCGTCAGGACTGGCGAGGC